CAGCGCTCTCGGGCCCCGGCCCTCGCAGGGCCACGGCGCAGGAGAACACACACACACGCCACGGATGGAGGGACAGAAACACAGACCGAGAGAAAGGAGCGGCGGCGAAGGAGAGAGCGAGAGGAAGACTGTCACAGCAGAAGGAGAGGAAGGCCACGCAGATGCTGGCCATCGTTTTAGGTGAGATTTTGATGTAAATGTAGTTTACTGCTAGTGAGTAAAAATCTAAATCACAGGACAAACTATTACAAAATCTGCAGTTTTAACTATGATATGTAAATATGTCATCTGCATGCGCTGTGCACTTCAAGGTGAATGTGAATCAGGGTTATCGTTAGCTAAAAATAAAACCATAAAAAATGTTTCCCCTTGAAATAAAAAAAAAAAACTAATAAAAAAATATTTGAACTTACAGCTAGTTGCCAAAGCAAGAGTTCTCGTTTTCATTTAGAATTCTTATCTTGATGAAGTAAAACAACTACAATTGAAATTATAAAAAAATAAAAGCTACAATAAAGAAAAAACTAAAAGCATTAAAATAAAATCACACAACAAAATTACTAAACTAAAATTAAAATGAAAAATATAAAAAAATTATTTGAATTCAAATTCTAAATATTAATAAATAAAAAAATTAGTCTGACATAAAAACTCGCAATTCTGAGGGAAAAAAAATCACAATATATCATTGTGATATATAAACTCTTTTTTATGTATATGTATTTTTTTTTGTTTAAAAGCACACACACACACACACACATATATATATATATATATGTGTGTGTGTGCTTCTCTGAATTTATATAATATATATAAATTAATTATATTTAGTTTTTATTGATTTAGTTATATATTTATTATTTATTTTGTTATTTTATTATGTTGCCAAGGCAATAATTCTAAATTCCATTGAGCTTGAGGTTTTCCAGCTAGTATTTTTTATGTTTTATTATATTTCATATTTATTTTAATGAATTCATTCCTCTTTCAAGTTCAGGGCATTCTGATTAAAACCAAGATTGTTGGAGCATTTTTCAAGAAAAGAAAGAAAAGTCTTTCTGCTTTAAAATGTAATGTTTAATTCAATGTGTTGCCTGCTGTTTCTTTGTAATTATTTTTAAAATAGTTTCAAAGTGAATCCTACAAATACATTTGCCTTTATTTATTTAGCAGGCACTTTTATCCAAAGTGACTTGCAGATGCAGAAATTGTTGTTAAAGTTGTTTTCACTTGTTTGTTGTTTTGGTCTCTCCTCTGTGATTTCAGTCTTTCTACTTCAAAATTTCAAGTTCAATTCAATGTGTTGCCTGCTGTTTCTTTATAATTATTTTTTTATTTAAATTTTAATGTATTTTTCAGAATTACATTTCTGAGTAAAAATGGTTTCAAAGCAAATCCTATAAACATATTTACATTTTAAATCTCTAAGTTAGAAATAAACTCTGAAATGCAAGATATAAACTCAGAATTTCCTTGTTTATATTTTGCAGTTTAATACTGTTATTACATCTCATAATTCAGAGTTTATTTCTCACAGTTCTCTAATTCTGAGTTTATCACATTTTTTTATACTATTCAGGTTTTCTACTTAAAAATGTCACGTTTCTTTGTAAATATTTTTGCATTTTAATTTAATGATATTACAGTTTTTATAATTAAATTGCACAGTGAGAATAGTTTCAAAGTGAATCCTACAAACATATTTACATTCATTGAGCTTCAGTCATTTTGGATTTAAATTACCTTGACTTTTTGAAGCATTTTGCTCGTATTATTTCTGAACATATAATATGTATAAGACAAGTTTGTACAAGATGTAGTTGCATGCATCTTTTTCTGCAAATAAATTTGTTTACGTTTACATCATGTTGATGCACTTGGAATAGAATTATCTTTAAATAGAGGGTTAATAAAGAAAAAGTTACTTGAATCATGTTGTAGTTACATTTTCAAGTTGACTAGTTAAAAATCGTGATTTTTTTTTCACTCTGCCCTATTTCTTTATAATCATTTTTTATTTGAATTACTTTTTAAAATATGTTTCTAATTGAAAATTGTTTCAGAATGAATCCTACAAAGATTCTTTTAGCAGATGCATTTATCCAGAGATGCAGAGGTTGTTGTTGACGTCGTGTTCACTCGTTGTTCGTCTCTCCGTGATGACTGTGTTCTCTGCAGGCGTCTTCATCATCTGCTGGCTTCCTTTCTTCCTCACACACGTTCTGAAGGCTCACTGCGGCAGCTGCTGCATCTCTCCGTTGCTCTACAGCGCCGTCACGTGGCTGGGTTACCTCAACAGCGCCGTCAACCCCGTCATCTACACCACCTTCAACATCGAGTTCCGCAAGGCCTTCATTAAAATCCTGCACTGCTGACAGACGGCAGGAGATTCACTGAACAAAAGAAGCTCCAGACATTTGTCAAGATAACACCGATCAGGAGACACGGTGACAAAGACAAGACGAAAAGTCGTTTGAAAAGGCTTTGTTTGTGGAACTGATTGTCTGAAACACAATTCTGTTTGTCTTGAAATTCTGATTTATATCTCGCAATTCTGTTTGTCTTCCAATTCTGACTTTATATCTCAGAATTCTGTTTGTCTTGCAATTCTGACTTTATATCTCGCAATTCTTATTTATATCTCGCAATTCTGTTTGTCTTGCAATTCTGATTTATGTCTCGCAGTTCTGACTTTATATCTCACAATTCTGTGCTGTGGGGGTGTTTTTCAGCTGCAGGGACAGGACGACTGGTTGCAATTGAGGGAAAGATGAATGCGGCCAAGTACAGGGATATCCTGGATGAAAACCTTCTCCAGAGTGCTCAGGACCTCAGACTGGGCTGAAGGTTTACCTTCCAACAAGACAATGACCTTAAGCACACAGCTAAAATAACGAAGGAGTGGCTTCACAAGAACTCTGTGACTGTTCTTGAATGGCCCAGCCAGAGCCCTGACTTAAACCCAATTGAGCATCTCTGGAGAGACCTAAAAATGTCTGTCCACCAACGTTTACCATCCAATCTGACAGAACTGGAGAGGATCTGCAAGGAGGGATGGCAGAGGATCCCCAAATCCAGGTGTGAACAACTTGTTGCATCTTTCCCAAAAAGACTCATGGCTGTATTCGATCAAAAGGGTGCTTCTACTAAATACTGAGCAAAGGGTCTGAATACTTAGGACCATGTGATATTTCAGTTTTTCTTTTTTAATAAATCTGCAAAAATGTCAACAATTCTGTGTTTTTCTGTCAATATGGGGTGCTGTGTGTACATTAATGAGGAAAAAAAATTAACTTAAATGATTTTAGCAAATGGCTACAATATAACAAAGAGTGTAAAATTTAAGGGGGTCTGAATACTTTCCGTACCCACTGTATATCTCGCAATTCTGCGTTTGTCTCGCAATTCTGATTTATGTCTCGCAATTCTGTTTGTCTCGCAATTCTGATTTATATCTCGCAATTCTGACTTTATATCTCGCAATTCTGTTTCTCTTGCAATTCTGTTTGATGTCTCACAATTCTGATTTATATCTCGCAATTCTGACTTTATATCTCGCAATTCTGTTTCTCTTGCAATTCTGTTTGATGTCTCACAATTCTGATTTATATCTCGCAATTCTGACTTTATATCTCGCAATTCTGTTTCTCTTGCAATTCTGTTTGATGTCTCACAATTCTGATTTATATCTCGCAATTCTGATTTATATCTCGCAATTCTGATTTATATCTCGCAATTCTGATTTATATCTCGCAATTCTGTTTGTCTTGCAATTCTTATTTATATCTTGCAATTCTGCGTTTGTCTCACAATTCAGATTATTATCTTGCAATTCTGATTTATGTCTCGTAATTCTGACTTTATATCTCACAATTCTGGATTTGTCACACAATTCGTTTTTTTTTAGAACTGTGAGATAAAAAGTTGCAATTACTTTTTTTATTTAAAAAAACAACAACTTCAGAACACCATAAATAAGATATATAGACTCTTTTCTGATAAATGAATGGGGTTTTTGTGCTTTTTGGAGTTTGGCCATATAAATCACTATTCATTTTCACTATCAAAAACAGAAGCATTCTCCTAAACATCTCCATGTGCGTTTCACAGAAGAACGACATGAGGGTGACTAAATGATGATGATGAGCAGAATTATGATTTATGGATGGACTATGCCTTTAAATCATGTTTTTATCCTCGGAGCAGGTCAATCGTGCTGAAAATTGACAATTTTCCTGTTATAAAATGTGCAATTTAAAGCTACAGTTCACAGAGTGAAGCTCTCGTCTGGTGGATTTCAGATGATGCCGAGATAATCAGTTTGTCTTTAAACTCCAACCAGTTTAATCATCTTTGAATATTTAAACATGTTTCGGACTGAATAATTCAGTGGAATCTCTAGTGCTGATATAAGATATACTGATGCTCACTGACTCCAGAGGAAATAAACACTCCAAACATATTCTGCGTCTCTAAGAAAGCGCAATCTAATGTGACGTCATGCTGAAGCTCTGAATCTGTACTGTTTGCTGTAAATAACATGATGTAAATATGCAGTATTGAGATTTTTGTCCTCTACAACATGACTTGATAATGTTCAAATATTGGAAAACCTTCCAGTTATAGCTGCATCGTCTCTTAAAGGGCTCTTGAAGATTTAAATCCATTTTGGCTGAATTTGGGCAAAAATAAGACATGTTTTGGAACAGGTTTAGCCTGCAGGCACTAGACTCAAACTGAGCCAGACGGTAGAAAGTATGCCATGAAAAACTAAATAATGACTGCATACATTTGTTTTAAAAAATAATTGTATAAATATTTATTTTAGCTCAGCAACATTTCTCATTTCCATGTAGTTTAACTTAATGTATTAAAATAACTCAAATTAATAAAAAGTTAAAAATTATAGTATTTTGATGAAACTATGATATATGAATGAGTGGCAGTTTAGTATCATTGAGATTTTTTTTGTTTGTTTTGTTAATATTTTGAATTTTTTATATTTTCTCTTTCCATTAAATTTTAGTCAAAGTTTTAGGAATTTTGTTGTCGTTTTATTATTTTTATCTTTGTACATAGTTTTTAAAATTTATTTTTCGTTTTTGGTTATTTTAGTTCACCAAGTTAAACTAAATTAAGATGAGAATGTTGCCGTGGCAGCTACATGAAATAAAGTTTTTTATTTGATTTATTTATGAAATAGTTTTTTTTAATGGTTTTAATTTTAGTTTCAGTTTTAGTCAACCCCAATAACTGTCTCAATGATACTAAAATAATACTAATATGTTACAGTATTATTTTAGTATCATAAAGACACTATTATAATTATTATAAATTTTTTGTATTTTATATTTTAGATGATTTTATTTCAGTTTTAGTTTATTATTTTTGTACATCAAGTTAAACTGAGTGAAAGTTAAATTTTTAAATATTTTTTATATTTTATTTTATTTCAAGTAACCTATTTTTAATGGTTTTAGTTTGTGTTAACTGTAATAACCCTGATAATGACTCGTGTGACCTTTTAAAGCAGCCTGAAGACTTTGAATCTCCGGTTTCTTATTTGTTTGCCTTCCCTTGTCCTTTAGTGTAATCTGACGTTTTAACTGAGTTGGTTTAATCTTGTTTTCGATCTAACTGCTCCCATTACAGATTGCAGGTCTCCTGTTGACTTCCAGCACCTCACGGTTCGATCCTGTAATGTGATCGGCAGGTAAAAACCCTCCTGGGGTGAAACAGGATTCACAGCTTCAACCACACATGCACCTCATATCTGTCACGTTTTATCAAATACATGAAAGCCTTTATATAATTGTGCATATCAGCCACCGGTGATCAATGCACGCAATGTGAAGCATCGATGATTTTTAACCCGCAACAGCCATTGACCCTCATGCTGAGTCACTGGCTCTCTGTTGTTTTGTGACCTGCAGTATATCTTACTCTCAGTCGCTCAACTCTGACCCGTCTAACAATAATCAGCATGCATTTTTCATCAGCCTATCCATTACAGCTCTTCATAAACTTCCCGAGACAGCAGCTGAAGCTTTAGACTGAATGCAAACCCATGCTGTTGAAATAGACGAAGCGAAGGACAGGAGCAGGCGAGGTGAAACACAATGAAGCAGGCCGAGCATCGCAGGGGATTGAACGGATGCAGTATGCAGCGCACAGCGCCTCGGCTCTTCTTCTGTTGATGCTTATCTCAGGCTTTTGGACTTTCATTACTCAAGTGTCTTCTATTGTTAGAGACGGAAGAGAAGAATGGCCTCGTGTCTTTGAATGCATGAGCTGACACAAACAATGGCTTGTGCCCAGGTAAGGACAATAGACTCTTGGTCTTTGTAACAATTCATCAAAACCTCTTCGAGAAGCTGCTGCTGTGAGTTTGCATTCGCTGAAAAGAAACTGTAGCGCATGCACTATATAGAGGTGAAGCGTGTAATTAAATACTTTTTTATATCTTGCTTAAAGGGACGGAAAATTAAAACTGTCATCATTTATTCACCCTCATGTCGTTCCAAACCTTTATGAGTTTCTTTCTTCTGTTGAACACAATGTTAGATCGTCTGAAGAATGCTGGCGCTCGAAGAGTTGACGGCACCCGTTGGCTTCCATGGCAGGGAAAAAAAGGCTGGAAGTCAATGGGTGCCGTCAGCTGTTTGGTTGCCAGTATTCTTCAAAATATTTTATTTTGTTCAACAGAAGAAATGTATCCAGTAGCAAAATAAAAAAAAACATTGTAGTATTTCTGTGACTGTACAAAAAAGAAAATGTTGCTATATTTACGATGATTATAAATGCATCTTTGAAAAAGGTCTCAACCAATGGTGTGAGTGTGGGGCGGGACTATCTGTTTAACTGACCAATGGCAGACTGGGGGAGTGTTCAGAGAAACTGTTAGAAAACTATCACTGTTTTTGCAGTACTGTTTGGTGACACGGGTGCTGAAATATTACTTATTTTGTAAAAAATGTTTATTTGTTTTTTTATGCATGTTGCATGTTTTGTAGCTTACCGAATTAAATAGTTAATTTAATACTGCAGAAATAATTGCATTATGTTTCAGTTTCTAATAACAGTATCTTACTAGTCCTTTTAACTAATTCAGTTGAGTCAGCTGGAAAATGTGAAAACAGTCTCCAGAGCCTGTCCAGGCTTGATGATAACTGACCTTTGACCTTATGTTTAGGGTTTCTATAACATCAGCCCGGCGAAGGAGAGCCGCGAGCCTCTGCAGACCTTCCCGTCATGCCCTCATGCGTCCAGTCTGCTCTTAAACACGGCTCTCCCTCTGCTCACGGCTCCGGTGATGACGGACTCGCCACTCACACTGATTCCTGGATCTGCATCGAAGAGCCCCGTTCCTCAGACTCTCACGGACGCAGCGCTGTCTCTGTACGGAACAGGAAGTGCCTCGGTGCCGTTTCCTGTCCGCCCTGTGACGCTGGTCTCTGCTGGCTGTGTGCAGCTGCTGGGGGTCTCTGAACTGGCCCCGTACTCGCTGTCAGTGCTCATGCCTCATCTGTTAAACCCTCCTGAGAGAGACTCATCCGCCATCACGGGCCCTAAAACCACAGCCAAAGACGAGGAGATCAGCATCAGTGCTTCTAAAAACCCCTCTACAGACAAGACCGGTGAGGGGATAGATAGATAGATAGATAGATACATAGATATATAGATTATTCAAGTTTTAATTCCCAAACTCTTGTGTTTTCTCGTCACAGATGTCTCTGGGATCAGACTCTGTTCATCATGTCCATCACGTCTGGCGTTGATTACGACCCTCATCCCCACCTTCATCATCCTCACCGTCTGCATCGCCGTCACAGGTGCACATTCCCTCAGTAACACCAGGTACACTCATAAACGACTGGAAACAGGCGGATAACTCAATGCTTTTCTTCTTTAGTGAAGTTTGTGTGTTTCCCAAACAAAGAGCAAGACATTGAGCCCCCTGCTGGCGGCTCACAGAACTGCAGCATTGCTCAAGAACCTTTCTATTCTGTCAAATATCCAGCCAACGACACCGTCAGCATTCCCTCGGGTACGTTATGCATACTTAAATATAAGATGATTTCATATGCAATGTTCCCCTCTAATGTTTTTTCTTGCTGAGCAACACTTTTTGGCCACCTGAGCAAAAACTTTCTTTATACAGACCTGTACAGCACACTTGTTTTAAGCAAAATGCTCTTAATTAAATTTTTTCCCCTGCAAACAAGACTAAATGTGGCCCTGAACCAAAAAAACAGTCATAAGGGTCAATTTTTTTAAATTGAGATTTATACATCATCTGAAAGCTGAATAAAAAAATCTAAATATTTGAGAAAATCACCTTTAAAGTTGTCCAAATGAAGTTCTTAGCAATGCATATTATTAAGTTTTGATATATTTACGGTAGGACATTTATAAAATATCTTCATGGAACATGATCTTTACTTAATATCCTAATGATTTTTGGCATAAAAGAGAAATGTATAATTGTGACCCATACAATGTATTGTTGGCTATTGCTACAAATATACCCCAGCAACTTAACACTGCTTTTGTGCTGCAGGCTCACATATATTATGTAATTTTGCTTATCTATTAAATGCATCTTAATTTAAGATTTTTTATATATTTTGACTGGAAACAAGATACTAAGATACTAAGTAAGAAGCCTTTTTTGCCGTGTATTTCGCAGCATGCTCTGTTCCTGTCCAAGTGAACTCGATTTACCTGGTCTTTGTCTCCCAGATTGCTCCGCAGCAATGAACGCTGGGTCTCGTGGGTCGCGTATTGTCGGCGGTACGGAGGCTGTGAAGGGTCAGTGGGGCTGGCAGACCAGTTTACACTATCGGGGCAAACACGTGTGTGGAGGAGCCATCGTCAGCCCTCGCTGGGTCATCACTGCCGCCCACTGCTTCATACAGTGAGTATGAGACGACAGATGCTGAGGGGATTCTCACGCCGCTCATCTCTGTGTTCGTCTCGTTTGGCAGATATGGCATGAAGCTGGAGTCGGACTGGATCGTGGTGGTTGACAGCGTGAGCGTCTCGGATCCGTCTCAGGGAAAACGCTACCACACACTGCAGATAAACCCGCACCCGCGATTCTCGCTGGACAACAACGACTACGACCTGTGTCTGCTGCGCACACAGACAGAGATAGAGACGGGAGGCGAGTTCACCCTTGCCAATTTGAATGAAACTAATTATGCAGATATAGCTTCTTCATCAGATTTGGAGAAATGTAGCATTGCATCACTTGCTCTGCAGTGAATGGGTGCCGTCAGAATGAGAGTCCAAACAGCTGATTCTCCAAATCTGATGAAGAAACAAACTCATCCTAATCTCAGACGGTCTGAGGGTGAGGGCATTTTGGGCACATTTTCATTTTTGGGTGAACTGTTCCTTAAAATACATGGAAATATATTCCATGTGAACGGACTCTATTTAGTTTTGCATGCTTTAAAAGACACAAGACGTGAGCTCAGTAGTCAAACACATCCATCCAGCTCATGTTTACATAGAAAATAAAAGGAAAAGCAGTGCAGTAAAATGCACAATATGTGTTCTGTATGAACAGCCCTTATTGTGCATGCTATTCTAAATAATATTTTTGTTAATCAAATGCAATAACTTCATCAATATATTCATAAATTCTCATTGCATATCAGGAATTCCCTCTTAGATGTCACATTAGGCAGGCAGGTTTTTTAATATATGTTACCAGTGCTGGCAAAATGAGTCACAATGAGCACATCTTTAAAAAATGAGTTATTTTCAAGTCAGTTCTGAGAAAAATCAAGTGTAAGTTTTCTGAAGGTTCCAAAGCAAAATCACCTAGTTTTTTGTTTATTGTTTCCTCCACTTCCTTTCTTAATATTAACTACTAAATAAAAAAAATCACAATATAGCCAGTTTTATTTATCTTTGTTATTAAAAATAAGAACAGATGCAAACAACAGTAGAAGAACAAATATAAGAAAGAAACAAATAGGCATAGTGCATAACTTTTTTTTTACAACTAAACAAAAGCATCTAAACAAATAATCAAATGTAAAAATCACTTCAGTGTGTTCATTACAAATAAACTGATTCTTAAAACTACAAACGCAGTTCAATCAAGAGCAGTGATCTTTCTTTTATTGTTAGATTAACATTAATGAGATAGAAGGTCCTACTGATCTAATATAATGTTACACATCAGATGTTTTCCCCAAACATTCACTTAAGACATATCAGATTATGTTTGCGTGAATAGCCTACTTAAATACTGTGATACAGTATGTAGCGCCTTTATGTGTGTGAATCATATATCAGTCAGCGGCAGCGCAAGAAGCGAGCAGAGAAAAAGGCTCACCTCTCAGAAAATGTACAAGTAAAGATAATTTTAGATGTTTAACTGGTCCGTGTAATGGTTTGCCAGCAGGGGTCACATATGCCTCTGTGTTGTCTGTGGTTTAGACGGTGTGAGACCCGTGTGTTTGCCCCGTCTGAGAGAGTCTTTCCCTCCGGGATCGTCCTGCTGGGTGACGGGCTGGGGTTACACACGGGAAGGAGGTGAGAGCGTTTCTGAAGCATTTACAGCATCCTGAAAGTGCGTTCATCCATTCATGTGCTTTGGTTCTCTAACAGGGTCTGTGTCGTCACACCTGAGACAGGCTTCGGTTCAGCTGATCGATCAGGCCGTCTGCTCACAGCCCTACGTGTACGGCTCACAGCTCACTCCCAGAATGCTTTGCGCTGGCGTTATGAAGGGAGGAGTGGACTCCTGTCAGGTATGCACATGCATTAAAGGGACAGTTTGCTTGAAAACGATCATTCTGTCATTATTTACTAGGGCTGCCCTCGACTAAAGATTTTTCTGGTCGACTAGTAGTTGTTCATTTTAAGCATTAGTTGACTAATCACACGTTATAATGAGCCTTTAATTGCCTACATTGCCTAATAAGTGCTCAAGCGCACACATAAAGCTTGCCTCAGCACACCGGCAGAAGTAATGATGATGAATGTGTCAGGTAAAAACAGTAAGGAGGCTGCATTAACGTTTTAATAATTCATTGATAAACTAGTGATTTCATCTTAAGAGATCGACATTGACTCGTCATCTTCGCAGCAGTGCATGTATTTTTCATATGGATTACGTAATCTGAGAATATTTGTTTTCCATTTGAATTGGTTCATTTGAAAGTAGACATTTCACTCTCTATAGATTTATTTTTAATGTCTGTAAGGCAAGTATACACAGAGTTTTGGAGTTTCTCGCTCAAGTTCACAGAGACCGAGACGGCAGAAAGCGCATCCTGTTTGCTTTCATTATTTTACAAAAGCGCAGTGTTTTGTTGTTATCGTGAGTGCACACAAATAAACGTAGAGTCTTTACAGATTCTAAAGATGTATTACTCTTATTTGGACCAGCCCTTAACAATCTGTGTGTCTTCGCCAATGTGTATTTTTATTTATTTATTTTTTTCTGTGACTATGCGACTAATAAAATTTTGGTCGACCAAGCCTCTTCTGGTCGACTAACGGTTAGTCGACTATTAGGGGGCAGCCCTATTATTAACTCATTCTCGTGTCATTCCAAACCTTTTGTTTTTCTTCTGTGGAACAACATGTTTAAAAAAGACTGTAAAATGTTCATGCACTGCATTATTTCAGGTCTTCTGGAGTCCTATAATAGCTTTCTGAGATTCGCTGAAAGTCCTCCTGCCTCTGTCATAGTCTGAAATCGATTCAGATACAGGGTCATCGAGACCCATCGCTTCACGCTCAATGTCGTGATGTAAAATTGTGTCAAATCTGATGCATCTTGACCTGCTAAATTTGAAATAAATGAGGTCTGAGAGCTCAGGCGGAGCTCATGATGCAAAATTACATGAAACATTATGAGGGTGAGAAAATGATGACATGATTGTTGTTTTTCTGTGTAATATACATTTTACATTTTACAATAGGGACCCATTAGTTAAAGGGTTAGTTCACCCAAAAAATCAATCCATAAAAAAAAGTGGATTCGTCTGAAAGAAGAAAGTCATATATACCTAGGAGTAATTTATGGGCTAATTTTCATTTTGGGGTGAACTAACCCTTTAAGGCTAGTTATTGTAAGAAGCAATACATGTGTGTGAGAGTGCGAGTGAGTGTGCGTGCGTGAGTGTGAGAGTGTGTGTGTGTGTGTGTGAGTGTGAGTGTTTGCGTGAGTGTGTGTTGTGTGTGTGTGTGTGAGTGTGTGTGTGTGTGCGTGCGTGTGAGTGTGTGCGTGTGCGTGTGTGTGTGAGTGTGTGCGTGTGTGTGAGTGTGAGTGTTTGCGTGAGTGTGTGTTGTGTGTGTGTGTGTGAGTGTGTGTGTGTGTGCGTGCGTGTGAGTGTGTGCGTGTGCGTGTGTGTGTGAGTGTGTGCGTGTGTGTGAGTGTGAGTGTTTGCGTGAGTATGTGTGTGTGTGTGTGAGAGAGAGAGTGAGTGTGTGAGTGTGTGTGTGTGTGCGTGCGTGCGTGTGAGTGTGCGCGT